TCTGAGATTGCCGTTACCTTTGGTTGCCATTCTCTAGTCAAGGATCTGAGTACTTTTAGGTTCAATTCATCATTAGTCAATGTTTTGCCAAGTGCCCTTAGATGATTTGTTAGATGCACAAATCTCTTTTGTAAATCAAGAATGGATTCTCCGGGTTGCATACGTAACAATTCATATTCTTGACTTAACGTATTAAGTCTCGATCTCTTTACTTCAGTTGTTCCTTCATGTGTTTCAACCAGTGTATCCCAAATTTCTTTTGCCGTTGTACATGCTGAGACACGGAAGAATTCATCCATACTAAGTGCGCTTTGAAGGAGGTGTATTGCCTTTTTGTCATACAAGACCTTTTTCTTATCATCATCATCCCATGTAGTTTTAGGCTTCGATGAGCCAACTCCGTTTACTACAGTTACCGGAACAAAAGGGCCATTTTGGACAGCATCCCATATTTCTTCTCCTTGTGCTTCTAGATGAGCCTTCATACGGATCTTCCAGAAATCAAAATATTCACCACAGAATAGAGGAGGCTTATTGCTACTGCCACCGTCTCTGAACACAGAATTGTTGTTTGCGGAAGCCATTCTGGATCTAGTAGGAACAGGTTACCTATAACCTGCTCTGATGCCAATTGTAAGTTCAGATGTGCCTAAGAGGGGGGGTGAATTAGGTTCTTTAAAACTTTTTCTGAATTGTATGAATATTTTTGCACGAGTTTCTTTTCTTTCTTTTTCTGATATGTGATGAGAGCAGTAAATGCGAAAAGTAAAGAACACAGAGATGTATCCTGGTTCCCCTCACAGTCCGAGAGTACTCCAGTCCCCTTTCAACATGAAAGAGATTTCCTTATAGTTGGTAATTTGTACAAAGACTACCAAACAACCAAGAACAATCCTCTTGGACCAAGAACAATCCTCTTGGATTTTCACTAAGACCACAAAGAGAACAATCCTCCTTAAGTGTCTTTCTTGTTTCCAACAATCCTGAAAACAAGTATACAATAGTTTGTTTGATTTGTATAAGAGTTTGAATAATGAAAGAGCAATTTCAATCACTTGATTGATCTTTTCTATTCAATATGAAATTTAAGATGGAATACTCTTTTAAGTGCTCAAGAACAATTTTCAGTATGCATATGAAAATGATGAACAAAAATCTTGAGTATAAAGAGTATGATCAAAAGAATAGAAAGTAATAATTGTTAGTGATTGTTGTTTTTCAAAATTCTAAATGAAAATAATTTATAGTGTAGTAATACTTCTTCAATGAATCATAGCAATGTTTAAACCATTTTTACTAAACAAATGTATTTGAAAACATACAAAGATTGCCATGAAAAGGTGTTACAAAAAGTTGCTGGAAAAATAAAATTTTTCAAAAACTTAAGCACAACAACCGGTTGCACTAAAGCAACAACCGATTGCTGTAAAAGCAATGTTTAAAAAATTTGAAAAATATAACTATGACAACCGATTGTCATTGAGGAGCAATCGGTTTCTCATAGGCCAACATTCAAAAAATTTGAAAATAAAACACATGACAATCGATTGCTGCTAGATGACAATCGATTGTTGTCAAACATAAACTTTTTTTACTGCAACCGATTGTCCTAGCATGACAATCGATTGCTTGTGTACAAAAATTGAAAAATCATTATTTTCAAAGATTTTAAGCAATTTAAAACATCCTTCTTCAATCATACATAGTATATACTCAAAATATTATTTTAATAAAGTAAATGCATGATTAAAAATAGTTTTGAGCACTAAGAGCATAAGATCAAAAATTTCATATACCTTAAGCCATAAGTCTTGAAAAGTTGATCTTGATCAATGAATCTTTCTTGAGATGAATCTTCTATCTTGATCCATTCATTTTTGTATGCTAGTTTGTCTTCATCAAAACATTTGGAAAGCTTGATTTCAAAGTTATATGATGAGAATTGATGAATGTTAGATGAATAATGATGTCCCGATGTTGTTTAATTGATGTAGAATTATAGGATAATTGTAAGTGATGATTATCTATGATTAGATTAAGTTTTTAGGGCTTAAAATATGGAATCCGTGGTGAAAACGGAGAGAAAATCGCAGAAATTATGCAGGATAGAGCAGGATGTGTCGACCCCAAATGCTATGTGTCGATACAAAAAGGTTTTGAGACTCAGTATGAGTCGACACGAAGAGGTCTTGCGTCGATACATGAGGACCTTTAGACTCAGGATGAGTCGATACGTAGGGGCATGTGTCGATACATGTTGTGTGTTAGACTCAGGATGAGTCGATACAAGAGATGGATGCATCGACTCAAGTTGCGAGTTCAGTGCTGTACGCGTCGATCCAAGGAGATATGCGTCGACCCATGTTGTCTGGTTTTTTGGCAGAATCAGTTTGAGAATGCTGTAACTTGAGTTTTCGGACTCCGTCTGAGGTGCCGTTCGAAGCGTTGAATAGGTAACGCGATGAACTTTATTCTTGAGGATTAAAATGAAGAATATTAAGTATAATCCTAGTATCCCAATTAGGACTAGAGTTAATTCCCGCGTTAATCATTATGTTGGTTTTTATGCAGAATGATGATGATGAAATGTTTATAGGCTGTTGTTTGATTTGTAACAGTAGGAGTAATGATAGCAATGGTGTAAGATTACAGAATATCAGTATGTAGAGGTTTGGTGACTTAGAAGTAATCCTTAGTTGCTTAACTAATAATATGCAATATCTGGTATAGGCCTATGGCCAACGTTGTGAAATTGACGAGTTACTGTCGTATTAATGTACAGCTGGGTTGTTGATGAGATGTTATTAATGAAGTTGTGTTTGATAATTTATGATGAATAAATGATGTTTGATGAATAAATGATGTTTGACGAATAAATGATGTTGATGAATAAATGATGTTTGGTGAATTATTATGATGATATGAGATATTGATGAAGAGATGTTGAGATGCTTTTGAGATGTAGGCCTTTGGCCATTGATGGTGTTGTATTGAGATGTTGTCAATTATGGTGTTGTTATTATATTCATGATTGTGTCGCATACATTGCATTTTGAGATGGAGCTTATGCTCGTTGAGATGGCCTGTATTGGCGGATATTGAGATGAAGGCTTATGCCTTGTTGATGCCTCTATTAATTGGAAATTTTTGAGATGGGAGTTCTGCTCCAAATGGTACCACATGCATTTGCATAGTATTGAGTCGCATTATATGATTGCATAAAGAAGCGTGCATTGATGTCGTGAATGTGTATTATTGTTATGATTATCGTTGATTATGAGATGAGAAGTGGTGATGTTATGTGATCTAATTTAATATATTAATTATCATACGCTTTATTATATTGTTAGATATCTCATCCCTTCTGTTTGAATGTTGCCCTTACGTTGGTAACGTGCAGGTAATCGAGAGTGAATGATGTATACCTTCAATAGTTCGAGTCGGTGTCATTGCTCTGATATGTAACACTCAGGGAGATGAACGCTTGTTGCTTTTGATTGTTGATTATTCAGTTGTTGAACTCTAAGTTGGTTGTTATTAAAATGTGTTATTTTGAAGTTGCTGTAATAATGATAAAGATGTTACTAAGAATTCCGTTGCGTAGATGTTGAATTATTTAATTAAGGATGTTATGATGATGGTTCATCCGATGTTTTAAAGGTGTTATATATCCACGATGAATGCAATGAATTTTGAAAGAGTAATTTGTGACATCCCGATTCGTTTGCGTGAATGATTTTTATAACTCTGATTTATTTATATAATTGTCGGGGTAGGATTGGGGTGATACAGTCGACGCCTAATGGGTTCTTACCAACTGAAAATATTTTTCTCTATAATGGTGTAAGATGTGGCAGACGTGTCACCGACATGTCTTGCAATTCCCAGTTTTCCTCAACTATGGTAATATGTGACACACGGATCAATATTTAGCTTGGTACAGATCGGTTAGTACCCCAGAAATGCACGTGTCTCATCCAAGGTATTTGGTTGACCCACGAACACAATGAGCACAACCCTCATTTCTCTAACAAACCCAACACACATCAACCTCCCACCAACCTCCTCGACAAAACAGAACCACAAACACCACCACAATACGATTACACCCACATGCCCCACAACCAACCACAATCACCACCTCAATACCAATACCCCCATATGCCTCACACCCAACCACAATTTCAATCACAATACCAATATACCCGCATGCCTCACACACAATTTCAGTCTTCTACATATCCCAATATGGGTCCTTCAACATCTAACCTTAGCCCTGATATGGGATTTTCCGAAGATTATGAACCAATCGATCCAACTTACCATCAACTACCACATCACCAAAGCACCCAATATTCCCAATACCAAACACCCCAAGATCCATTTCTTTTCTACCCCGTGCTCAGACGACCAATGCTATAGACCAACCATGGAACCCCACCCACCACCAACACGACCAAACTTTGAGGGTATGGATAACCGACTGTACCAAAGCGGATCTTCTAGTTATGGAGATCTGACTGATTTCATGGATCTGAAACGCATTGACTTCGCTGAGTCATCGACCCTGCCACAACAGGAAACGTGACGAAATCCAGCACGAGAAAGGCGAGGACAGGAATGCGGAACCGGAGATCATTAATGGATTCCGGGGGACCACTGATTAATCTGTATTTTTTTATGTAATTGTTCTATGTAATCATATTGTGTAAATAAAAAAATCAATTTTTGTGATCCTATATCGTTTACGTAACGTACCGCATTTAAAATAAAAAACACGAAATAATTCATATAATCCTGCATTTTTTTTAATACGTCACAACCCCACATTACAACAATGAATATGAAAGAAAAAACCGAATGATAAAATCAGGTGGAACATGTATATAATTTATGTGTTTAAGAAAAGACATATGACTTTATATAGAGGCTTTGATTGACGAAATGGTAGAGATTGGCTGAAAGGCATGCTGATTTTAAGAGGTTAAAGTCACTAAAGCCTAAGCCAAGCCAAACACAACAATAACAGCTACACCGATAGTGATGAAAGTTCTTAGTTTCTTGCTCTTTCCTGATCCTGAAATCACACTTAGTTAGGAGTGATCAAATAAAGAAGTAAAAACAGCTTATAATGGTAAACATATAAAAAAACTTAAAACTGTAAGAAAAAAAAATGCAAAATCTACGCATGTGTTTATGTAGAAGATTTGAAATCACAAGGAACTGTTTGTTTCATGAATGCAGATATATTATTTCAAAGAATGTGTGATTAGAATTATTATATTCTCATATTTGTTTCAAAACTTATGAACAAAATTATTGGCAATGATATTTCTAAAAATGATATTCATGGAATTATAATTTTAATCCATCAATCAAACAAAACGCAATTAAGATATATCTTTACCTGGAGATGTGTTGGTGGAGTTGGTCGATGCAGTTTTAGGAGGAAGTGCCTGAGATGGCTGTGATGCCGGCGACTCTGTAGAGTTGGTTGAAGCAGATTTAGGTAGAAGTGCTTCAGAAGGCTGTGATGCCGGGGACTCTGTGGAATTGGTTGATGCAGATTTAGGAGGAAGTGCTTGAGATGGCGGTGGTGCCGGTGACTCTGTATTGTTAATAGACTGATAAAACTGAACTATATCATATCTAACCGAACAACTTGGTCCAAGATACAAACACCCTTTCATTTCTTTACACCAAACTGAAAGATCATCTAAAGCCAAATCCAAACATTTAGTACAATTTTGTTTTGTCAAATCTGGTGTACATTGAACCAATCCATATATAGTCTCATTATTATTGCTATTTGACTCATTTACTTTAACACTCTCTTCACCAAACTTCTTCCTCCAATCACCTTCAGCCGCAGTGCTTTTAAGTTCATCCAACAAGCCATCAAGTCTTTGACTAAATGCATCATCCACAACTGTCTTATTTTCTATATTGTAAACATAACCAGTATCAGTATCCATTACACCAAAAATTGAAGCATTAGAATAGCGTAACATGCACAAGTCGTAGTAACCAATTGCTTCTTTCTGAACTCGACACCGATCTGTGAGAAGTACTGCGGAGGTTTTCAAGCAGTCACGGCAATCACTTGGACTAACGTCTCCTCTGCAGAATCCAATAGTGCTTACTTTGTCAGGTTTTTGGCCATACGAAAAATTGTAGAATCCATAGTCTATATCTTTGTTGGAATATATGTTTTCTAGAGCGGTGGCAAGGTTGTTTTGGTAGGTACTACCGTCGGTGAAGTTTCCGAGATTATCGTTACATTTGTGGTAACGGAAAACTAGTTGGTCGTTGGCTTGAGAGTTTAGTGTGAAAAACAGAGGAAGAAGTAAAAACACAAGGCAACGCGAAGAAAGCATATTGCTCTTCTTTGGAATGGATTGTGAGAGAATTACGGAAGAATGAAGTTGTTAGAATGAATGTAGAAAGTAGCTTATTTCTTTCATGGTACACACGCCAAGGTAACGGGAAATTATTAAAGGAAGGAAATATCCATTGAAGTTAAAAACACGGGTCAAGTCTTTTTATCAAACAAAAAGAAGGGGTCAAGTCTTCCCAAATTTCTTCTTGTTTTGGACTTCATGAACCAGTAGCGGAATATCCAGAGTAACTAACGTGATTTAGGGGACAATTTTAGTGAACCACCCGGAAAACCAAATAATTGTATAAACCATAGTGTAAACCACTAAGTGGGTTTGGGCTGCGGGTCAACGGTTGATTTAAATCATATAGTGGAAAAATCAAATAATTCAAGTGTTGTAATCGATTATAGCGGATGAAAAAAGCATTTCTTAAGCAGGTAAAAGCGTTTTTGGAGTTGCGCTAACCTGATTAACAAAACACGTAAACAGATTACACTTGATATGTGATTTAATTGTTTGTTCAATGATAACCGATTAACAGTTTGTGTTAAACCGGTTACGAGCCCGACTTTTGACTTTTTCTTGTATTTTAGTGATGTGTTTTAGGTATCAATCATTGTGTAACACTTGTATAAATGTCATTGAGGTATTATTATCTCAAATTAATGCAATTGTTCGTTCTCGCCTTCAATTCTCTCTCTACATCAATTGTGTGATGTATGTTCCAACATGAATATTGTCTCCAATGATAGAGTCCCTACAAACCTTCCAACCCTTGATGCGAAGAATTACGTCAAATGGTGCAAGCAAATGAATGTGTTGTTTGGCTATCAAGATGTTCTTGAGTGATAAAAAATGAGGTAGATCCTCTTGTCGAAGGTGTAACAGATGCACAAAAGGCTGCGTACAAGGAAGGAAAGAAGAAAGATTACAAAGCGATGTTCTTGAATCATCAATGTGTGGATGATGACAACTTTGAAAAAGTTGGCGATTGAAAGTGGCAAAGGAAGCATGAGAAATCTTGAAAAATGCATATGCAGGGGCTGATAAGACAAATGTGGTGAAGTTAGAAACTCACAAACTTCAATTTGAATTGATTCAAATGGAGGAGAAGGAGACAATCAATGATTACGTGACGCAAATTACGCGGTTGGTGAACCAAATTAAGTCTTGTCGAGAGGTTGTTTTGAGCACAATATTGTGTCAAAGATCTTGCGTTCTTTAACAATAATATTTGACAATATTGTAGTGGCTATAGAAGAGTCGAAGGATCTTGCAACGTTGAGAAAAAATGAGCTTCAAAGCTCTCTTGAGGATCATGAGAAAAGGATGGAGGAGAGAAGTAACGACAAGGCCAAGGGGGAGATTACTTTGCAAGCACGGTTCAATAAGAAGAACAAGAAGTCGAAAGGAAAATGGCCCATGAAGAGTAAAGGAGATTTCAAATTTTTTATGGAAAAGAGTCCCAAAATTCAAAAAGTTCGACTTGTAAAAGGGGTGAGAGTAGCTGCAACAAAAAGGATGGTCAAGGAAACTTTAAACGCGAAATCAAGAAGTTTGACAAGAGTAAGGTACAATGCTTTAATTGTCAAAAACTTGGTCATTTCGCAAGAGAATGAAATGTGAAACAGAGAAAATCTCAAGGAGATAAAGCTAAGATTGCTAGACAAGAGGTGAATTATGAGAATACACTCTTGGTCATGTTCACAGAAGGCAAACACAACATCAGTTTTGGGAGTGCTGCAAAAACGTTTGCGAAAGAAAATTTTATGGTGACTGTGAGATAAGGAGTCCAATGTCGTGAAGAATGATACTTGGATTTTGTTTGTTCCACACATATGACGGGTAGAAAGGATTGGTTTGTCAAAATCAATCAAGCCACAAAGAATAAAGTGAAATTTACGGATGACACGACTTTAGCGGCTAATAGGATCAATGATGTTTTCATCATGATAAGGGATGTTGGTCATTCCTTGATCAAATATGTATTATACACTGTTGGAATCAAATGTAACCTTCTAAGAATTGGTCAATTACTTGAGAAGGGTTACAAGATTCGCATGGAAGACAAGATATTGCATGTTATGGATGTAAATGGGGTTTTGGTCCTTAAAGCTCCTATGGATACCAATATAACTTTCAAGATTGAGTTGAAGGTGATGGAGCATAGGTGTCTTGCTATAATGACAACTCAAGAAGACTGGTTGTGGCACTACCATCTTGGGCATCTTAATTTTTGAGATCTCAATGTATTGCAAAGGAACGAAATGGTAATTGGGTTTCCATCCATCAATGTTCCAGATGAGATTTGTAAAGAGTGTATGCAAGAGAAGAAACACGAGATTAAATTCCAAAAGGATGCGTTTTGTAGAACCAAACATCACCTTAAGGTGTTATATTTCAATGTGTGTGGGCCGATGCAAGTTGATTCGTGTGGTGGAAATAGGTACTTTGTTACTTTTATCGATAATTATAGTAGAACGCTATGGACATACCTAGTCAAGATAAAGGATGAGGTATTAGAAGTGTTTAAGAATTTCAAGTTCATGGTTGAGTGATAAAGTGTTCACGTGCTCAAAGTTTTCAAAATGGATGGTGGAAACGGATATATCTCAAATGACTTTGGAAATTTTTGTGATGAAGTGGGGATAGTGCATGGGGTAGTACCACCATATTGATAAGTTTCAAGTGTAGTTTATTTTCCATACCAAATATTGGAACTTTAAGCTCTTTTATATGCTTTTGATTATGAAAATGTGTAATATGATTGGAGAACTGATTTTACTGATTTTGCATTTTATCGCAAATGTTACAGTTAGCAAGAGTCACCGCCGACTTTTCTTTTATCCAATAAAGGAAAGGGTGAAAAGAACAGGAAAGACCTTTCGAGAATTTTTCTGAGTAAGGGGGGTAGTTTATGGAAAGGGAATGTGTTAGCGTCCTTTCCATCCGTAGTTATCTACGGGCTCTTTGTTGCTAGCTCACTTTGAAAATAATTTGTGTGTAAGTGTATTTGAAAATATTCTGAAAAAGATGCCTTAGTGCGGCAAACTTTGTAATGAATCTCGTATCGTTGAGAATGCATACAAAGTGTTTTATCTTTGAAAATATTTAGAAAAAGAGAGTGTATGTGTGGGAAATTGTTTTGTTTTACGAGCAAGCAACTACAAGCTATCTGTAATACGGTGGGAGAACTGACTTGGGTGTTTTGTGTTTGATCGCAATTGTTGCGGATAGCAAGAGTCTTCGAATTTTCTTTTATCCAATAAACGAAAGGGTGAAAAGAACAAGAAAAACCTTTTGAGAACTTTCTTGTGTTCGGGGGATAATTTATAAAAAAGGAAGGTGTTAGAACCCTTTTCATCAGTAGTTATCTACGGGCTCTTAGTTGCTAGCTCACTTTGAAAATGCTTTGTTTGAAATGTATTTGTGATGGGTTTTGAAATTATTTTTGAAAAGTTCCTTCGTTTAGACAAACTTTGTAATGAATCCCGTCTCTTTAAGAATGCATACAAAGTGTTGACTTTGAAAAATATTCCATGTTTGAAAGTGTTGGTGTGTTTTGAAAGTTTGTTTTTGAAGAATGATTGTGAGCAAGCAACTATGAACGTTCTACCTACTAAAAAATTCTTAGTTCTTTTCCTCCTCCTTTAGGTATTGCTACCTTACCATTGATTGATAAGAAGCTCTACCATTGGATGTGAAGGGACAGACGTAGGTCATTGTATAGTCATAGAAAAGCAAAGTTGTAGGATACTTTAGCAATTTTTGTAAGGGTCTAAGATCATTTATGAAAGGCAACATTGAAGGGTCATCGAGGGACTATGATCTTGTATTTTGAAAGTATTTTGCTAAAACATCCTACATGCATAACATGACTATTTACTTCTCAAGGAAACAAGTGAGGTTAATCCTAGAAGTGCAAGTGTGCAAAGTGTTTTGTTTTTCATTCATTTTTGTCTTTGAATTAGGGTTTTCTACTTATTGATTTTATCTTTCCATACAAACCCTAATTACTAGCATTTATATTTGAAAGCGATAAATTACAGAATGTAAAGATTCTATACTATTACATAGTTTGGGGATGGGGGTACAAATTTATAAATGAGGGGATGGCAAGTAATTAAAATCTAATTACTATTACAACCATATTGAATATGAACAAATAATGTACAAGAATAATGAAGATAATGTGAAAGGGAAATGTTTTTATTTGAGTTTTGGTGTAAAAGATTTAATATTAACCTAATTAAACTAATAAAAGAAAGAAAATAATTTTCTAGTCTAGGTTGATTTAACAAGAACTAAACCTAAATTAAATAGAAAAGGAAAAAATAAATTAAGTAAGAAGATAATTTTTAGGATTTTTATGAAAAGGTTTTAGTTTTATTAAACTAGTATAAAAAAGTTAATTAATTAAAAATCCTAGGTTCTAAATTAATTTAAATTAAAAAAGAAAATAAAATAAACCTAAGTCTAATATTTATTTAAATTTAAGAAAAGAAATTGGATTTGTTAAGAGAAATATTTTTGGTCTTTTTGTCTTGATAAAATGAAAATATATTAATATAATAAATAAAAAAACATTTTTGGAATTTTGTTAATAATAATAATAATAATAATATTAATAAGAATAAAATAAAAAATAAAAATAAAATAAAAATATAAAAGTTTAAGTCAAGGGGTGTAAAAATGATTTATGGTGTATGTGAAGTAAAACAAATTTTGGTTTGATGTTAGGGCCCAATATGATTTTTTTGTGTAATCAGGAAAAAAAGATAGTGAAGTAAAAATGAACCAAGGCCCAACTGAAGGGAGCCCATGCGCTACCTGTTCAAACAAAAAAAAGAAGGAAAAAACATGAAAAACACAAAAGGTCTCGCTGGAGCTCAAACCCAGGACCTTCTATAATAAAACCTTTACGCGCGCGCTTGCGGCCATTGGGGAGGCCTATTTCATACCTTAGTAATACAACAACTATCACTACAAGAAAATTG